ACCAGAGGGGCTTAATGCAATTTCTAATAAACGGGATCCCAGGTGACACCACGTCACGCAGGGAAGCGAAGCGACCTCTCCTGTCTGCCCCACTGTTCCCCTCAGCAGCATATTTCAGTAAAGCCACCTGTTCTGCTCCCTACTCTGTCTCTAGCGAATCCTCTCATCCCCATCCCTCCCCCCACCTCTAGCCTACAACCCAATTCCTCCACTAAATAAAAAATAAAAATTTTTTAATTAAAAAATTACACCAAGTGTGAATTCTAATATAAAAAGTAGACTTTCATTATTAACAATGTATCTATACTGGCTCACCAATTGTGACAAATACACCAGGCTAACACAAAGTTACTGATAGGGGAAACTGCATCCAGACTAGGGAAAACAGGAACTTGATACTTTCTGCTTGTCTTTCAAGCCACCCCATAGTCCTGCTTTTGGCATGTTAATTATTTTGAGCTCTTAGCAAATCAGGCCCAGGCAATACAGGAAAAGCTTTTTACAACCTTTTAAACCACCTAAAAGAACTTATACAGGGACCAGTTTTTGGAAGAGCGCAATTACCCAAGAAAAAATTTTATATCTGAGAAACTTATCTGCAAACATTTGTTTACCAAAAACTGCTCTTCTCACTTTTATGTGAATTGTCTTCCTCCCTTTTGAAGCCTCAGGCTCTTAGCTCAAGTGCAGGATTGTTTTTCAGTTCTTGCACTTGTGCCTCTACCTTGTAGGCACAAAATTGAAATTTCGCCTTTTTCCTGTTAATCTACTTTATATAAATTTAATTTTCAAAAATATTTATTTATGCATACAGAACTGGGGTACATATGGCCAGAGGTGCAGGGGAGGTGAGAGGATTCACCAGAGACAGAGTGGGGAGCAGAACAGGCAGATTCACTGAAATACACTGCTGAGGGGAGCGGCAGGTGAGACAGGAGAGGTCTGCCGCACCATGTGGGCACCTCCGGTGGGGATCGAACTCTCATTGAAGAGACTGTGGCTAGCTTGCAGTGCTGCATTCTAACCAGTTGTGCCACCAGGGAGGGCCAAAATTAAATTATTAAACCAGCCACAGAACCCGGAAGCGAAGTGAAAAATGTCCCTTCCCCACTGTTAAACTAAAACTGCTCTGAAAAGCAGTCTATTCATTAAAAAACACACAGAGGAAACTGTTATATTATTAAAGCACACACACACACACACACACACAGAGGAAAACAATGATTCTTTAAAATATGCAGTAACATAAACCTGGTATGTGATGTGATCACAGACCATTAGACACATGCCATGCACTTATGCAGTCCTATATAACAGTCACAACTATGAGATAAACACACTAAAGACTTGAAGAGAAATGCACCAAATGTAACTAAAAACATTCTGTATCGAGGAGGAAGTAATGGGATCAAATTTGATTATCTTATTTACTATACTGAGACCAGAAGGACTAGGGCAACAGGAAAATCTGAGACATGGGACAATGATTTATGACAATATAGAACTTAGAAACATACAAGCACAATTTTTGCTGGATTGTTAGCTGATTTAGTAGCCACCAAGGGCAAGATCTGGTCCCAAGACGGTTGCGGAATAAACAGCCATGACTTGGTGCTTAATCGATAGTCTGGCTTGCTGGGAAAGTTAGTCTGACATAACATAGTTACAGACAGGGCTGGCATAAATGGGTATCTACTCCTGCCATCAGAAACTCTTCCCTTTTGCTACAATAAATCCATGCTTTCCTGCTCTCACATTTGGCTGTTGCAACTGTTATTCCTCAACCAATAGTATATACCTGGACCCCCAAGCATTAGTTCTCCTAATATTATCCATTTTTAAATAAGAATTATGTACCATGTAATACTCTTAGATCAGAATGAAATTCTTTTTTTTTTTTTTTTTGAAGCAATAAATTGTGCTGCACTATTCTCTATCCAGCTGGTGTTTTTCAGCTTGTTAGGGATGTCCTGCACAAACTCTACAGATACAGGTTTTGTGGGTTACCCCCCACCCCCCACCCCAGGCACTGAGACAATCTCATCATCACCACGGGAGGATTGCTGGGACCTGGTGGACTTAAACAGCCAGGTTGGATATAAAAGCAGACGTGGGCCTTTGGGGATTTCTTGGCTTCTTGGCTCATGTCTTGTCTCTTGGCTTTTTGCTCACTATCAGCATGCTATTGGGGTTCCAGGTCAGCAGTAGCGTTGGGGGGGCTGCAGTAGTGTTGGGGAGGGGCCAGAATGCCCTGAAGGAACTCCACTCCACCCCCCACTCCAGACCAAAGCTGATACAGTTACAAATGACTGGCCTCTCAGATAAGTATTAACAAGTTTGTCTTTGCCCCTTGTTTGACAAGTTAGTCTTCTTTATGACTGGATTGGTCTTTCCCTATTTTGCCTTTCCCTATTCCTTGCAATGTCTCTTCCCTTGTTTGACAGGTTTGTCTTGCATTCCAAGGAAAAGGAAGCTAAGCAGCAGCTGTTGAAAAAACAAGCTGGCGCCCAAGGGTCCCCATCTCTGTGCTGACCCCGCACCCTCCCCTTTGCAGACCCTTGCCCATCTCCCCCTTTTTGCTTCCCTTTGTATAAGTAACCCTGCACCCTGAAAAGGGCAGGACAGTGGTCTTTCAGACATGAGTGTGCTGCCCTTCTCATTTGTCGACAAATTAAACCACTTTCCTTGTCCTCAAATTGTCTTTTTATTGACTGAGGCAAACTGAGGCTTGTGTTCAATAACAAGATACCAAGATACAGAAACTATAAATTCCATAATCATAGAAGGGAGGATTGCTGGGATCTGAGCGTGCAGTTAAGCAGCCAGGTTTGGTCTAAGACCAGACACGTGGGTCTTGTGAGGTTTCTGGTTTTGGCTCTTGCTTGCTCCTCTGGCTCCTCTTGGCTCTCAACATACCGCTGGGAATCCAGGTTGGTGGAACTAGCAGGACGCATTACCAATTTATCACCTTCTCTTTCTCCCTGATATATTCATTTCCTCAGTTCCCCTACTTTTGTAAATCAACCCTTTATCAGCTAGTTGAATATTATTGTAAGTCCCTTTAAGCACACTGGTGAGGACCCAGTCAGGCAACCCAATTCACACTGGGGGGCCTTTAACAAGCTCTAGGATGTTTCTAACTGCCTCTCATGGAACCGTGAACCCAACTTACATTCAGGATAATAGAAGCTTTTGCACAGAGCTGGTCTCTTGGTTGGCAGCAAAGCTGTATCCAACCCAGGATTCTCTTATCTCCCCTAACTCTCCCTTCCCCCAAGCTCCAGTGCAACTACTGATTCAGAGAAAACTGCAGTCTCAGTAATCCCAACCCAGTATGTGGCTTTATAATTCTTACAACCCCAGCCAGCCTAAATTAAATGATTAACTTATTTAATGCTAATATTTAACCATCAAGATAACGGGGGAGAGAGGCTCACCAGGTTTCTTTTCACAAAACAAAGCACAAGATGGTTAAGTAATTTACTTAGGGGAAGACCTGGATTAAGCCTTCAAGAGATTCTACAGCCTCAGGGCTAAAATATTTGGTGGTATGCGAAAACCTATGGAGGGTGGGGTGGAAGCAATGTACCCAAACCATCCTGTACCTAGACTGTTCTCTCCTCCAGGCCTTAGCCCTCTGGTAGGAACAGCTCTAGTTCAAGCCAGCTCCAGGCAATTCCCGTACTTGTTCAGATAACCCCAGCAGGAGACACAGAGACCTAGGAGGCAGAACATGCCTCACAGCCTGATCAAACAGTGGAGGAACTCAAGCCCCTGCCCTCTGAAAGAGCCACCCCATTGTCTACTAAGGTCACTGCTCTTTGAACAAGGAATGTCAACCTGTGCTGATACTAGTCCCCCCAACACCCCCTAGATAAATCTGCACAGTTATCTTTAGCACAGACATTTCTTTCTCTTTGTTCAATTATGAATTCGAATAACTTTGGAGAATAACAACTTCATAATTCATGTTTATGCTACATTAATACAGTTTTAATCCACTTAAAAATACTCATATACTGAAGGCCAAAGTGGAAAAGGCATCCTAGGGCTTTAGCAGGGCATCACAGTCCTCAAGAAGCTCCCGTTTAAGCAAAGGGCATGACAAGCTCATCAGGTCTTTGTTTCACTGCAATTACAACAGGAATGGAATCCTCTTACGTGGTGTATGTTAGGGCAGTGTGGGCTGGGAAGGGAGGGCAGAAGGGTACCCTGACTGTTGCAGCCTGCTGATAGCATCCAGGTAGAGGCAGATGTCGCAACGCCAAACAAAGACTGTCCACATTCCCGTTTTTGCAGACTGAGGGTCCTGGGGCCTTGAATTCCTCATCTGGTCATTCACCTAGGCTGTTCTGAGCTAGGACCCTTCCTCCCCCTAGTACCCTCTAATTCTAAATTTTCTCCCTATATTCCCTTGGGTTCTCCTAAGAGTCAGCCCCAGTAAAGCTTTCTTCTCTTTTAGACTGCTTATCCTTTGACTCTGTAATTCTGTATTGTTCTTTAAGCAGCAGTTTGAATTCAAAGATATTTACCTGTCAAGCAGTATATTTTTTACAGGATAAAAAAAAAAAGGCCACTTACATCTGCCCAGATTTTCCATGCTTCTCTTGCTTTCATTACAGTTTCTTCATAATCTGCCATATTGGCCTGTATTAAGATTAGGGGAGACAAAAAAGAAAAGGAAAAAGAAATGATCATCTCCTTCTAAGAACACACAGATTATTTTAGGGAAAGAACAGGAAAATCTCTGGGTGATCTTAATATTTCTGGTTTAAAATGATATCCACAG